ATACAATAGTGATATTAATTTATAGAGATTTGAAATTTCAAATGTACGAATAAGAAAACTCTATAACAAATCACCGAATTTTTTTTTTCTGTTTATTAAAAAAAAATTTATATTTCTTATGCAGTAATTTTTAGTTTGTTGCAATTAATCTTCTTAACAAATTTTAAAATTAATTAATAAAAATTAATTTAGCATATATTTAATAATTTTTAAATTTTATAACTAATAAATTATGGCAAAAAAAAAAATTAGAAAAAAAAATTGAGAAGAAATTTAAAAAAACTAATAAATGCAATTTTTAATCGACTAACCCGAATAAGAGATTAATTTGCCGGAAATAAAAGTTAAAAAAATAAGTATTTTTAAGAATCTCTGTGATTTTTTGAGAAGCTAAAAATAGAAAGGTCAAGTTGTCACAATAATTATTTAAATAAATAAAATTTGATAATAAATAAAACAAATAATTATTGAAAAAGTATAATAATTTTAAATCAGATTAATTTAAATTATTATCGCAATAAATTAAAAAAAAGAACTAAATCTATGAATATTTCTAAAATTGTTTTTAAATCTAGTTTTGAAATATGATATTTAAGCTAGTAAATATTTTTTATCTTTCTGAATAATTATATGCTTGAAGTATTGGATAATGTGCAATACATTCTTATACAATAGTGATATTAATTTATAGAGATTTGAAATTTCAAATGTACGAATAAGAAAACTCTATAACAAATCACCGAATTTTTTTTTTCTGTTTATTAAAAAAAAATTTATATTTCTTATGCAGTAATTTTTAGTTTGTTGCAATTAATCTTCTTAACAAATTTTAAAATTAATTAATAAAAATTAATTTAGCATATATTTAATAATTTTTAAATTTTATAACTAATAAATTATGGCAAAAAAAAAAATTAGAAAAAAAAATTGAGAAGAAATTTAAAAAAATAATAAATGCAATTTTTTAAAATTAAAATAAATAAAAAAAATTAAAATTAAAATAAAATAAAAAAACTGTTAAATGACTGCTGATTTTAATGTCATAATTAATTATACATAATAACTTAATTCTTTTGAAAAACTAATTTTTAACCCGGTGTTATTTATAAGCACCTGCTTAATAAATGAATGATTTTTTAATGATATTAAAGTTAGTTGTCACTTGACCATTTTTTAATTTTATTTAACAAAAAAATTATTTAAAAAAAATTGAATTTTTAATTTATAAATGTCAATTTTTTTCTCATTTTTTTTATACAATAATTTATTTATTAGAAAATTTATTAAATATCTGCTAAATTAATTTTCATGATTTTTTATCAAACTTAACTCACCTTTTCGGCACAATTAAACGCCTCTGCCTCCACATATTGTCTTTAACAATCATTATTAAAATAATACAATTTAAAAACCTTCAACACAAATATTTTGACAGCATTTGTCAAGTTTTAAATCGTAAATTGATTTAAAAAGTACGTACTATAAAATAGAGTGTCTGTGATAGCATGTTGGTTTATTGAGACTTATTTTCTACCGGTAATATTATAACGATCAACTAATCATTCTCTTCTTTTATTATTTATTCTACTAATTTTTCTTTTTTTGCTCCTGTTACTTTTTGCTTCCGTAGTCGGCTACTTTTTTTTTTGTATCCCGCCGATTTATTATAGATTATAATCCACCATAACTTTGTACCTCACTAGTTTCAAAATTAACAGATCAATGAATTTATTACCAAACCGACGCGAACGTTGCATTTCTTCTTGTAAATTATTCTTCTTTATCAGCACAAATATTTGACAGAAAATGTTTACGATTATTTAACATGACTATCAGATGGTGGCGGGGTATAATGATTGAAAGTTATGTCCGCCAGGTCGGCTGGTCAACGTGCGACTGCGGTTCCGCATCGTTCTCCACCTCCTGTTGATGCAAACTCCTACTTGAAGTTGGTTCCCGCTAAAAACGAGGTTCTCGCCGGCGATCGGCCCCGTTACTACGATACTATATAACTTACTACTTTTCTCTATCATTCTCTTCCGCACTGCCGATGCAATTCTACTCTACATACGACCATACGACGTGGTCGCTTCCTTATTTTTTTATATCTTCTTTCCTTTCACCTTGCGTTACTACCTACGACGTGATAATTAACTCGTATGAAAGATGAATACGGATCTAAGAGAAGAAAGTATACATCATATTTATATATCTTTGTACATATTATTCAGAATACATTATGGTAATAAGGCTAATAAGTAATAAGCAAATATTTACTCATGTTTTGATGGAGATATCACTTTTGGTGATTCTTGTAAGTTTAATTTCTTCAGAAGACTAGTGCTCCTAATTGCGAGCTAAATTTAGTGAGATATATTCGTGTGAAAATTTTCTACGTTAGTAATATATGTTACAGAAATTAACAAATATGTATGACTTTTTTTTATTTAAAATTTTTTGAATTTTTAATTTTTAAAAAATTAAACAATTTTTTAAAAATTAAAAAAAAATTCTTAAAAAATTAAAAATTTTCGGAATTTTCAAGACACGTCAATTATTTAAAAAAAAAAAAAAAAAAAAATTTTTTTTTTTTAATTTGACATAATTTTTTTAAATTCTTACAGATAGAATTTTTTTACTAAAATATTTTTATTATAATTTAATTGTTATAAAAATTTATAATCAATCATAAATTCAGTATACCTATCGACAGTTTTTAGTACTTTTTAATAAAATAAATATTTCTAATAATTTTTGAAAATCTTTTTTTACAAATTTTACATGTAAAATTTTTTAAAAATAATTTAGTTATTATAAAAGTCGTATAAATTGTTATTTTGTAATTTCTAAATCCTTGCAATTACCAAAGATTAATAAAAATATTTCGCGCAAAAATTCTAAATATATAGCAATTAAGTATTTTAATAAACTACCTCAGACTTTAAAGTCTTTAAATATAAAAAATAAGCTTAATAAAAAAAAATATTTCAGTGGATAGCATCAACTGATATCTAATTTCATGTTTACATCTTTGTTATCATAATATGCTCTATTGTTTTTTTTTTCATTTTAAAATGATACTTTATATATTAATATTAAGTTTTTTTTTGATGAAGTTTTGCTTCTCCAGGTCTATGTACAGGTGTATTTATAAAACCGCTATAGGTGCATATTTTTGTATGTATATACTAATTTTTGTATCCTGGTAATAATAAATAAATAAAAATAAATAAATTTATTCATTATATTTATTAATATAATATTGTTTATTATACAAGAAAAAAAATTTTAGGAAAAATTATAATCTAGGACCAGACTTTCAATATATTCATTATTATAATTTTAAAAGAAGAGTTTACACTTTTTTTCTCTTTTGTCCTCTATTAGTCAAACGGAAGTGTCTCTGTCATAATTTTACAACAAATAGAGTTTTAAAATGCATTTTATGCATAAATAAATGAAAATTTTCCAAAAAAAGTGCTTTGCTCTTGGACAGTTAATTTTCAAAATTAACTAAACAGAAAAAAAATGTTCTTGAATCAAGTATATATAATTTTAAAGAACTTAATACTCTTAATTTGAGTAGAAAAATTCTTGATTTAAGGAAAAGAATTTTTTGTCTTGATTCAAGACAATTACCCTCTTCAAAATTCTATTCTTGGTTCAAGAATTTTTCTTTTGAACCGTTAATTTTTTTTTTTCAGTGTATCAAACACTCTTGTTTTAAAATTTAATTACCAAAAAAAAAAATTAAATCTCTCTTAAATTTCAGTATCATTGTTATAGCTTGAAGAAATAGAACTAACTTAGTGGCTGTATAACATCATCACTTGGCCAAATATCAACTTAATGGTTTTAATTATGTGCAATTGCTACTAATTTTATAATTATTATTATTATTTTTTTTAATTTTATCAATTAATATTATTTTTTGTTATGGTTTGCAATTGCTAACACATCAATGGTCTACACATTTAACAATCTATCTATTAAATTTATAATTAATATTAATATTTATAATTAATACTAATATTATTATTCTATTAAATATGAAATCACTATGCTAGCTATAAGTCATCTTGTTATAAATCAAAATTTTTTTTTTGTTTTTATATACTAACTGTTGTATTATTAACCCTGTTAATGGCCCCTAGGCTTTTGGGTTTGTTTATTTAAATAAATAAATAAATAGCAATTTATTCAAAAATCTTGCTCAAAAAAACAGTATTCATAATATTTACACCTTTTTAGATTCTGTACCGCAGAAAAAAAATTAATTAAAATCTTACCAACTAATATTTCCATCATAAAATACTTAATAAATAATCCAATGAGCTAAATTTGCTAAAAAATAAAAATAGATTAAAGCAAAATACGTCGTCAGTGATGACGACGATAGCGTACACGGAACTGCGAATTATAAATTGAATAAGAAATGTACCCGAGATTATTTATTATCAATACCGGTCGGTAATTTATTCGATTGACCAAGTAATTGACACAGTCCTCGTGCTGAGAATTGGCCAGTAGTTTATTAAATGTAAATAACTAACAAGAGGTCGTGGAATACTTAAAAAGGAATGATGTTGAAGGTTAACCAGTGGACCTGTTTGCTGGATCTTCTCATAAAATTGTGAAGGACCGCGTACTTATATCCTAGCAATCGACCACCTTCGAGCAGTCGTTGCTCGTGCTTGCATCAGTAAACTACAAGTTAACTCTTTTAGTACGGTTCTCGTGATAGAGCCAGTGATTGCCTAGATAGTCTTTGTCTATCTGGTTAGCTTCCTTTATTTAAACATTAGATTTCCTTCACGACAGCCTAGGATAGGACTTACATCATAAAGGTAAGAAAGACACAACCCACGCTATAGATAATTTTTAAGCGGGTTCATTGCCACGGTAGACCTAACGGTCAGTTGGTTGCATTATTCGTAGGATCCAATCGTGATGCTCTTACGCTTTTCTCTAGAGTGTTTCAGACGTCACTGTGGATAACGATGAAGCGACAGCTGGAAATGTCCCGGATTATTCTCCTTCTGGGAATTGCCCTCAGGGCCAACACTCAAGCCCCAGTCCTCAGACGTCAACATTATCTTCTGGAGATTGACAACGGAATTCTCAACAACGTTAAGCCGTATCCTCAAGCTCTCGGTAAAGATGTTGATTTATCCGACCTTGGGCTACGGTCAGTCCAAAAAAATGCTTTTGATCAGCTTGTCAACATAAAATCTCTCAATCTAGATAATAATTCTCTACAAGAGCTCCCTGAATTTGTTTTTGCTAATTTAACAACTCTACAAGCATTATCTCTAGCCAAAAATAATTTTAATACCTTTCAAAATAATTTTGTCGGGCTTAATAATTTAAAAACACTCAACATTTCTTACAATCCACTTAAACATTTAAGAAAGAGTTTTTTTTTCGGTCTTACTAAATCAACTGAGATCATCACCGAAGGCAATGAATTTTGGAGCATATCTACAGAACTTTTTGAAAATCCATTTCTTCGCGAAATGGAGCCGAATCATCAATTAGAGTTTGATGAAAGTCCGGATAAAAATCCGACGTTGAGAAATAATGACGATAATTTAATTCTTGATGATAATCTTAAAGTAAAGATTTGCAAAACAGCCCAAGGTGTTGTAAATACAGTTGAAGAGTTACAAACAAACGAAACATTATCCTCCGAGTGCAAACAAGCTGGTATTATTTACGAGCGACGTACCTTAGTGCTTAAAAATTTGGGATTAAAAGCCGTTCAAAAAGGTTGGTATAAACTAAATAAATATCCATTTAATTCCATTGATTTAAGCATGAATAATATAGAAGAAATTACACCAGAATTGCTAAATGATCTTCCTGAGAATTTGGCCTTTGTTAATTTAGCTGGAAATAAAATTAAACAGTTAAGAAGAAATATTATTGAGAATAATTATTTGAAAGTATTGAATCTAAAGGATAATTTAATAATGGAAATTGAAGGTGGTGCTCTAGAAAAAACTCAACTATCTGGGTTTTTTATTATAGGCAATTGTTTGAAGAGCTTATCGTTTGCTTCAACTTTACCAATTACATTAACAGAAATGATTGCTTCGCAGAATGATATTGAAGAAATTCCAGAAAATTCAATGGCTAATTTAAAGAATCTAGTTTATTTGAACTTAGCTCACAATAATATTACCGAGTTAAAAAGTAATACTCTTCGTGGGTTAACTTCGCTTCAAGTACTTATTCTCACGGACAATAAGCTGAAGACTATTGAAGAAGGAGCCTTTAAAGATATGATTAATTTAAGAACACTCTATCTTTATCGTAACGCAATTAGTGATTTAAAAAGTGGATTTGTTCGAGGTTTAGAAAATTTGAAGGATCTTAATTTAGCTTGGAATAATATTAAAAAAATTACTAATGATACGTTCATTGAATTACCAGACACTTTAAGAGATCTTCATCTTGATTTCAATGAAATCGAATCTCTGGAGGTTGGCAGCTTCGTTGATGTTCCTAAATTCACGCTTTCTCTTGATGGGAATAAAATATCAGCGATACCAAGAGGAGCGTTCAATCTTCCGTACCTTCACGAATTGCACTTGAAAAATAATTCGTTACAGTCAATTGACGGTGACGCTTTCGAGGGTCTTTGGCGTCTACGTCGTCTTTCTTTGAATGCCAATAATATTACGAGTATTAAAAAAGGAGCTGCTAAAAATATGGGACGTATTCATTTGCTTGATCTCTCGAAAAATCCCATTGAAAAATTAGAAAATGGCGCGCTTTTTGGATTACCTAAATCAAGAGGCTGTTTTGTATATTTATCTGATACATTTCTTAAAATAATTCAAGGTGGTATTTTTGATGATGTTTAAATTATACTGGTTTATTTTTTATAAAAGAAAACTCAATGAAATAATAATAATAAAATTGTCAAATGAAATTTTTATGCAATAAAATGAATTAATCTTAAATTTTAAGTCAATTTACTTTTATTTTATTTTTTGTCCCTTTTCATCACAATGCATCATCATCACCATCTCGCAATAACTTTTGTGTTTATTATCATCATAAATAACTTTTCTTGTTTCACGATATTTATGTAGATAAAAACTGCATACCTGAGATATGTAATAGTAATTTGCATCACTTCTTACTTCAATGTTATGTTTTTTTCTTTAGAAATGTTACTACAGCCAATTGTATAAAATTACGACCTTACAAATGACTCTTGACTTAAACGGAGATTCCGCTATTTTTTTTTTCTTTTGATAATATTTTACAATTAATAATTTTATTAAATAAACTCGTGCTCTGATCTCAGGTAATATATTATTTCTTTATTAAAATTGTGGGAGAAAAACATTGGATCTTTTTTTTGTCGTTTAAACCTTTTAGGTCTAACGGAATTTAAAATTAATTTCACTTTAAACCTCAGTTTACTTTATTAGAAAGAAATTAACGATTATTTATTTATTAAATTAATGGAGAAACAAAAAATAATAATACATAGAAAAAAGGGTTTACTTAAGTCAAGGAATTATTTTTCTTCCTTATTATTTTTTTGAGCGAAAAAAAAAAATATTTTTTGACACAAGAAATTTTACTTATTCCAACAAAATTAATTCTCTTGCTTTAAGAAATACGTATCTTGATTCAAGAAAATTTATTTAAGTCAAGAAAATCTTGTTGTGAAGAGAAAATTCAGCCTCTTGCTCCAAAAAATTTAGATCTTGATAGAAGTAAATTTTCTTGTCTTGAGAAAATTTCTCTCTTGCTCCAAAAATTAAATATAAAGATAGAAGTAAATTTTCATTAATATTTTTATTGATTAACATGTCAAATAATATTAAATCATTTTTTTTTTTTTTCATTAAATATGTATAATTGCACGCTAAAATAATATAAAATGGGTATCAAATATTTAAGAGAAAAATTTTCTCAAGGTGAGAAAATTTTTTTCTCAGCTGAAGTAGGTGATGGCGCTGCTTCCCTAAAGTATCTAAAAATCTTGATCAAAGATAAAAAAAGTTTGGAAAATCCAAAAGTGCACGCCTCATAACGCTCATTTATTTTTTAAGAAAAAATAACTGTGTTATTGATTAAAAAAAAAAATTATAACTAAATAATTTTTTACAGAGTATTTTTTAATTTTTTTTTAAATATCAGCGCCCTTTTTTCTTGTCATATGCGCACGCAATCTAAAAAAATCTAGCTTGATCAAGTGGCGCCATAATTTTCATGTGACAAATAAGAATAATTCGTTTGTCTTTGTACGGTTGTATCGTAGTGAATTTTAATGAAAATTCAATTTAAAATAAAAATACGTAAACTAGGCTACTGATATGAAATACGGACCCAGTTCATGGCATTCTTGAACTAATAAAAAAGGTCCGGTCTTGAAATATCAATTTGTTCGGGAGTAATCGTTGGTACATCCAAAATAGGGTGACATCCGGACGTCCACGTAAAATTTTTTTCAAAACGTTATTTTTTTTCAAAATAGCTACATGAAATGATTTTAGAAAGTAAAAAATGGTTTAATTTAAGTGTTTTCTCGGTGTACATCTACTTATATTATTGTATAAGTGTCATATGGTTGTGATAGAGGCATTTAAAGATCACAAAATTGCTTGACCTTGACGAGTCGAGTATAAAGCACAACCTCACGCGCTTCGCGCTATGAGTCGTGCAATTTATTGTATCAAGTATTTATGATAATTTGAATTAAAAAAAAAAATGACTTCCACCAAGAATAGAAATTCAAGAAAAATTTTTACTTCGGCCAACACAACTTCGGTCTTCCTTCAGGCACCCGAAAATTTTCTTGAGCCAAGAATTTTGTTCTTCAGGCAAGGAATTTTTTTTTCTATCCTATCATCCCGATATTAAAAAGTAATATAGTTCTGCAGTTATTCCTTCATACTTAGAATTTTTTAAAATATATATTATTAAATATTCGCCCTTTTTGTTTTTATAAATCTAAATGTAATTGTGATATCTATATGATTGTCTTATATACTTAAGAAATTTCCCACGGACAATAGCGTTTCCCGTTCCGGTGTTCCGGGAGAATAAAAACCCAAGCGCAATTTAGTGGCATTGACACCACTTCTGACTTTACATATTCTTATTTATAGCGGTTATGAGTTTTAAGATAATAATTATGAAGCTGGAAAGTTATTCGTCGAGAAGTAACACTAGAGTGTTAGTGTTAGATCGTAGGGTAAATCGTTAATTTTCTCATTTCATAGTTATTATTTATAATAAATATGATAATATTTATAATCATCAATTATATGGATTAATGGCCTTTGGAAGTATAAACGTTGATCGCTCACCAGCGAAGACGATAAATTTTGCCCAGCACCCGTCATATACATACGAGCAACTATATAATATATTGAGAAGAGACACAGTCTGATGGCTTACCGTTTGCATTAGTAAAACATTTCAAAATCATCAGAGCCGGTTTAGTTGCAGTAGGTGGATGCCAATGACCGGTAGCCTATGAACCAACTTGAGATATCTTAAATTAAATACACTTATAATCCAATGAAAGCCATATAAACCAGAGTAATTTTAAAGTAGGCCATAAGAATACCTTGACTTTCAAGCGGAAATCTTTTCAGGTCGGGTTCGTTGCCCCGACATTCGCGGATCATTCATCTTGTTCAGCACCATGGAGAAACTTGTGGAATCTCCCTTGGACAAAAAATTATTTGTAGTTTGTCTGTTTATTTTTTTTTTTTTTTTTATTTCTGCTTTCCGAAAGATGGAGAGAAGAAATTTTTGATAATGAGAATACAATTACATGGGCTATTTACTTTTGTCTTAAATTTCTCTTTCTTCTTCCGCATTTAAAAATCACAGCCCACTTTTTTAAAATGTATAAAAAAAATTTTTTTAATTATGCCATTAAATTATTTAATATCCCAAAAAACTATTCAGCTAAATCATTTTATTCGCTAATGAATTATGACTAATTGATAGATAGATAAAATTATATAATTTTTATGAATGATTCTTTGTAAAGACTTCTTAAAAATCTGGACAAAATTGTCCGACCAAATTATTTTTAATTTTATTAGAAAAACAATTTACAAGGGCTACAAAACTATCAGCTTAATGATAATAAATAAATATGAAAATTAAGTTAGCCGACATCTAAAAACTTTTAGATTTTTTTTTTATTGAAAAAATTGGTACAAAAAAAATTTTTAAAAAATGTCACTTGTAAAAAACTTGAAAAACTATAAGTGCAATTTTTAAAAAATATTTTTTAGTTCTTATTTAATAAATGAAAATAAATAAAAAAATTAAAAACGTCGGCTAACTTTAGTATTATTAAATAAACAGCCAATTTAATTTTTGTTTCTTCGATATTTGTGTATCTTTTTCCATATAACATAACAGGGGACTGTTTTTTTTTTATCAAATTGAGAAAAATCAAGCAAACTATTTCAATGCATTTAACTTTTCAAGTTCAATGAATATTTACATTAATTAAAATAATATTATGACTTATGGATCAAATTTTATAAATAAATTATAAATAAAAATAGTTGCCAGGGGACTGACGTTTTGAAGTGGCCCAGACACATTTTTCCAGCACAAACGGTGTTTTGACACTAAATAAAATGCCGATAAAGCGCTAACAGCCCTATGGTTATTAACTCAAGGCTAGTTAGGTCCTTATAAACCTTACAGAATATAAAATAGCAGGCTGGATTTTTTTTAGCTTTGAACTTCTGGCAGAGGATTGTTCTTAAAACGCCTGGGACAAACTTTGGTTTAATGAATTTACCTAATGAACCAAATTAATTTTCGGTACTTTTTATTGAAGAAGATTGTTAGTTAACTAATTAAGTTTATAAACATTATGGACAAAATTATATATTATGGACGAATAACTTAAAATTTAATCTTAAAGTTTCAATTTTGGGAAAGGGACAGCCCAGAGGACTGTTATTTCGGTAGTTTACGAATTTATACCAAAAAACCCAAAATTTATAGGGTAAAAGACCCCATTAGTGGCGGGGACCCCATTACTGACACTTTCTTTGATTTTGGTACTTATTCAATTAATGAAATCATTAATTTTAATAATGAATACATTGTTTCTAATCTTTAAGACCTTTAGATAAAAAAAATTCTTAATTTTTATTCCAAGTAGAAGATTTTTTGATTGAAAGAAAAAGTGCCACTAATGGGGTCTTTTACCTTAAATTTTTTTAGTAACAAAATAACAAATTTTCTAATAAAAAAATGCCTGGGACAGCAAAAAACATCCTTACAGAGAATCATCCTTATATATATATATATATATGATGTAATAAAAATAATAAGTAAATTTGCTGGCAGTGAATTAATGTTTTTTTTTTTTTAAACTGAAATAAGACGTGTTATTTTTATATTATAAAAAAATTAAAGAAAAAAAAATGATACCAATTGCTGGATTATGAACAAGGTTATTATTCTTGATGACTAGTAAATTTTGAATAATAAAAAATGACACGCAACTACATTTATTGTTGTTGTCATGTTTGAAAGTTGAGTTAAAAGTAAAATTGATGCGTAACATAATATGACGTTATATCATTTACGGTATTTATATACACATACTTTCACATATACTTACAAATAAATAAAACGATTTAAAAGAGTGAAAAAAATTTGATACATAAATAAATTACAAGCTATGCATCCTCTACTTGTATTTTAGCGGAAAAGTTTTGCGAGAAAGTACCAAGTATAGTTTAAGAAAGATGAATAGAAGCACTATTGACATGAGAAAGCAGCAAGCTATTTTCAAATTTATTTCTATTTCTCTTTAAGAATTATAAACGTTTCATAATAGATATAAACGCATCTATATTCTGAGAATCTTTTAATGTATATATATGTGAAACTAGATAACTTCTCACCTGCAAAATAATTCCCTGGTATGCGATTACCGTCGCAGCAAAGCCTATTAAATGGATTTGTTGACTCGGTTGATTAAAGTTATATATCGTGTCATTTTTACATTTTTTTACATCGTGTAAAGAGTACTGGAGGGCTTTCTTTTGAAAGCAGAAGAATGGAAAAAAGTCTTTGGTAAGTATTTACAAGTGCGGTCAATCCCATTTCGGGACATAACTGAGTGAAAAATACAATAAATAATATTATATTAGTATGAATATAATAAATTAAAAAATAACAATTTGTAGGATTTTTATAATAACTAAATTGTTTTTATAAAATTTTACATGTAAAATTTGTAAAAAACGATTATTTATGTTATTAAGAGAAAAGAAAAATTTTGTGGTCAGTGTATTTATATGATAAAATCGGTTAATTTAAATACGGTATCATTAGAAAGGTCTTGACCTAGAGTTGTGCTTTTTCAAGGTTTCATATTATTCTCACTAATAGTCATTTTATGATGATAAGTATTTAGGCTGTATTCGAAAATGCTCTATCTCTAGATACATAATAAAGAAATGACCTTGTATCCTGTGAAATATTGACATTTTTAAAAATATAAGCTCGTCACGATGTTACACTCATCAAGACCTTTCATTTGAGTACCCACATCAATTGTTCATATATTTATATATATGTATATATGAAAAATATATCAAAAATGCATGTGGGTACTCAAATGAAAACTCTTGATGAATGTAACATCGGGATGAACTTATATCTTTAAAAATGTCAATAGTTAAAAAAGTACAGTGCAATTTAACAAAAGTCATTATTTAATAAAGCAAAATTTTATTTAAGTATTTATAGTTTACAAGTCACGGCAGTCACATAGTGACTGCAAGGTTACTAGTTTGATAATTATTTACAAAAAATGTTGTAGAAGAAAAAAATAAAGATTTCAATAGCTTTTTTGCCTTCAAAAGTTGAAAAAAATTTTGGCTCATGTTTTTGGATGAAATTTCTATTTTATGTTTTTTTGATTTAATTTTTTTAAAAGTACATAAAAAAAATTTGAATATTACAATTTTTTAAATAATTTATAAATTTTTTTGAAAATTAGTTCAAATTATAATAATCAACTTTTTTTTTTTTAATTGTTCATTTTTTTATGTATTTAAAAAAAAATATATCAATAGAATCAAATAAAAATTTCGTTTAAAAAAATGAAAATTAAAATGGTTGACCCAACTTGTAAATATTCATTAAGTCTTTCGGTTCATACCTTGTGTGTTAAATTAAATAGCATAGATAATTATATCTGATAAGTAATTGAATGAATAAATAATAAATAAACATAACTCTGGATAAGATGTTACATGTTCTTCTGTATATAAATATGAAGCTTCCATATCGAGACTTGGTTATAAATCTTCTAGAAACATTATCCATTGGGACAAATAAAACATTACACTGAGATCTGGCTGTGTGTATGATTATATCAGCAGCTAAAAAGCATTATATACAATTTCTTCCATTACGCATGTTATCAATCACAACCCACACATTATTATTAATATGATAGTTAAGGTATATTATATTAAACAAAATAAATGTATTAAGATTACAAGAATTAGCTTCAGAAATTCGTTTTATACGAACATGAGTGTAGCAAGATTATATCACTCGCTTGATAGTGTATAAAGCTAACTGACGAACAAGTTAACAAAAAGAATGGATAGAAGACTCCTGGTAAACTTAATTTAACGGGTTTTCTAACGTTTTATAAATTTGCATTATCTTAATTAAGTTTTTAATTATTTAAAAAAGTTTTTATCATATAATTGTATCTAAATTAACAAAAGTTAGACTAATTTAATCAAATAACTTATTTTATTATTAAGAATACTATACATAAAATAATATGAACTAAATAAAGCAATTTCTCCATTATATTACAAGCATATTATAATTATTGTGTTTAATATATGACTTAAAGATCGGTAATTTTAATTAATAAAGATAGGTAGTTATTATTTTAAGCCTGTTATCGATCCAATTCTTAAAAAATATTCAATTTTTTATTACTATTCTTTCACCTATAATATTTTTCGGTATATTATAAAAACAAAAGTTAAAAGGCTTTTGTAATTATTAAAAATACAAAATTCTAAAATTTTTAGTTTAGTTAACTTGCACACTGATTTAAAAAATGAAAAATCAATTGATAAATCTATCCAAAAGGCCTTTACAATATTGTTATGTTATTAAAAATTTAATAAATGAAACATTTATTTAAAGTTTCATATTCTATGCATATATGCTTTGGCAGTACTGTATGCTGTAGTATAATTTACCCATTATTTTTTAGGCCACTAAAATTACTACCGGTGGATCGAAAATAGGATGAGGTAAAGTTTGACTTTAGAGTACAATTTATTTGTATGTACCCATAGTCCTGTCAAGGACGATTTATATTTAAGGGGGGAAATACGTGTAGAAGGCCGTTTTCATGCTGATTTTCATTAATTTTTTTAAGGTATAAAAAATTAATATTATTTAATCAAACTATCAGGTTATTTTATAGATATATTTATGAGTATTTTTTCGTATTAAACAACAATATAACTTAACAAATAGCGGAGATATCAGCTGATGCACATCGTAGGTTGTCATCCGACTTAGCAGTTGGTGTGCAGTATGGAAGCCACAATTTTTATCTGAAATCACTGGCACAGAAAATTTACTTTTTTTATATGTGTATCTTCTATATGAAACTCAATTCCAAAAAAAAAGTAAAAATTTGCATTTTTTAGAGGGCTGTGAAATTAAGTCGTGATTTTTTACCATTTTTTCATACATTGTTTATTAAAAAAAAAAATAGTTTAAATAAAAATATCGCTTATGATGGAGGTTCATATTCAGCGTAATTGTATAAAGAAAAGTAATTTTTCTGTGCCGTTGATTTCAGATAAAAAAAGTTTGGAAAATCCAAAAGTGCACGCTTCATAATCTCATTTTTCACAATAAAATTGATTAAAATAAAATATAAAAAGCAAAATAATAAAAAAGAGAAAACTCTGCTATGGTTTAGTGGCGCCATAACTCTAAGGTGAGGAAAAAAAATACTATAATAAAATGTATAGATAGATATACAAAAAAATCCACAGTCATATATTAGTTTTTTATAAATAATAATTTAACGACAGTGAATTGAATGCTCATATTAATTAGGAAAATCCTTCGTGTGTTACTTTAGATAATAAAAAAAAAAATTGTTCCGGTACGATCATTTTTTCGACCGATTTCCCTGCCACATACACTCATCCATACACGGACGTCCAGAAAAAATTATGTTAAATGTTATTATTTACTATGTTAAACAAAAAAATTGTTATTGAAATATATTTTATGTGCCTGACAAATTATTCGACTTGATATAAGTGTACTCATATTAACCTGTAAGTGCGATATAAATAACAAAAAATCAATTTCAGTTTCGAGAAAACTGCTTTTTTTGAAATGTCGAGAGTAGAGCACAACCTCAACGCTTCGCTTATGAGGCGTGCAATTGTGGCTTGCATAGTGCACACCAACTGCTAAGTCGGAAGACAACCTACGATGTGTATCAGCTGATATCTCCGCTACTTTTTAAGTTATACTGTCGTAAAATATGGAAAAATATAAATATATATAAAATAACCTGATAGTTTCAATAGATAACATTAATTTTCATATCTTAAAATAATTAATAAAAATTCAGTATGAAAGCGTCTTTCTACACGTATTTCCCCCCTTAAGTGAAATTACAATAATCAAAATTTATTTCGACAATTTTTGTTGGAAAATGTATAAAGATGCAATTATTTACTCAGTGTAAATAAATATTATAAAAGAATAATGATAAAAAATTGAACATTCTTCAAGAAAATTGGATCAGGTAACAGGCTCAAAATAATAACTATCTATCCATATTAATTATAATTAATAAAATATAATAAAAATAAATAAGTATTACAATTTTTACTCATCTTCATATTCTTGAAGATGATCTAACTTTATTTGCTTGCTGCGATCGACTTTAATAACAGGATTTTGTTTTTCTTTTTTAGATTTGTTGATAGGTTTCTGACCTACTACATATTCAGGAAAAATAATTTTACTTCCCACAAAAATAGGATTATTATCAGCCTCGACAATCTCAACACGTGTTTGTTTTTTATTTTTACGATCGTTTTGCTTAGTAGGTTTTCTGAATACCACTTGTGATGCTTGTGGTGCTGAAGATGTTGGACGATTCGAAGAACCAGCACAGTTATGTTGATCATCAACTTGCATATCTGTCTGTTTGAAATCGAGTTTATCTTTGGATCTCCGCGCCCTTAACCCTTTTAGAAATGCAAGAGCTGCTTGTGTATTTTTTTTGTCACTCATATCTGCCTCGTTAACATCATCTAGACTGTACTTAGTCCATTTTTGAGGATTTTTATGGTAATCCGGTACACCGTGATTGGCAAAAGGTGATGGTAAACTTACTTGTTTAAAGATACTTTCTTTACCACGAAATTGTCTAGCTTCATTTTTTCGGCGTTTACCTGGAGGAGGTGGACGACGAAATTTTTTGCACTCAAAGTCACGGGCGTCGATTGGAGTTGATTGATCTTTATTGCAATCTTTTTCTGCTTGAGATAGTTGGTCGAAAAGAGCCTTCTGACGATCTACGAAGCCTGGCAAAGAGGAATCACCACTTTGCAGAGTGAAACTTGTGGTTGGAATCTTCATCTTTGTTGACAGTTTTTGTTATTATAATTCAAGTTGACATTAATTTTTTCAACAATATCTAAAATAATAAAAATTAATTAATAAACTAATTATGAAAATTAATTTAGCATATATTTAATCATTTTGAAGATTTTATACCAAATAAATTATGGCAAAATAAATTAGAGAAGAAAATTAAGTTAGCCGACATTTAAAAATTTTTAGAATTTTTTTTTATTGAAAAAATGATTATGAAAAAATAAAAAAAAAATTTTCACTTGTAAAAAACTTTAAAAACTGTAAGTGTAATTTTTTAGAAATATTTTTTTGTTCTAATTTAATTATTAAAGAAAAATCAAAACATTAAAAACGTCATCTAACTTTAGTACCATAAAAAATTGACATGTAAAAATTATAAAAAATAAAAAATGCAATTTTTTTAAAATAATTGTTTGGAACAAATTTTTTTGATTAAAAAATTGTTAAGTAACTGCTAACTTTAATGTCATAAACTGATTTTATCTGTAATTATTGAATATTAAAAATCTATGACACTGAAGTTGACAGACATAAAAAATATTTTTAGAATTTTATGGCAATTAAATTATTATAGCAAGAATTTAATGAAAAAATTCCACGTGTGAAAATTAATAAAAATTAAAAGTGAAAATTTTTAGATGCATTTTTTTCTTATAATTGATTTGTTATAAAAATTTTTAAAATTGACAGCTGACAGCTAAAATCAGTATCATTGTAATTATAGAAGATTAAAAATCTTGTTGTTGAATACTCACTTAATTTTTAATTATCCTTGAATTTATTTTACGTTTATCAAACGTTGCTATTAATTTTATCCACTGTTATTGTTTACAGGTTAGAAGTTTTACTGATGTTAGACAAAGAGAGAACATCTAAAAATGGAGAATCCAAATTGTGTATACTATGTACATACAGAAAATATATACAAAATATATTTCAAACTTTGCATACAATATTATCGACTGTTGTCATGAAAAATAAAATAATACTAACTAATATTTTTCGCTGACGATAGATAGAGTTGTCGTGTAATTGAATTGCGATTAAAACATATTACTCATAAAGAAGAGCTGAACTGCTGAAGAGAATTTGTAATAATAACAATGAGAATTTGTCGCAATAACAAATAAATTTGTTACAGTAAATTTTATAAGAATACATTTAAAAATACGCTATAATCAGCTATATAGCTGATTTGGAAAATATTTTGGCAACAAATTAGTTTTGTTATTGCCACAAAAATCACTTTGTATAACAGCAACAAAATTATTTTGTTGCAACAACAGTCATTTTGTTATAGCAACAAAATGATTTTGTTAGGAGCAACAAATTGATTTTGTGATTTAACAAACTGGTTTGTTAGGTACAACTTGAAACATTTTGTTAATGCACCTAATGGATTTGTTGCTCCAATTACACTCATTTGTTATCACAACATATTTTTCAGTTATCCCGTCTTTTGTTTATTTCAACAAAATTGTTTTATGCGTGCAGACAATCTAAAAATTGGTCAATTAGCAATTGCCGGAACTCTTCAGGTAGTACTACCGTTACCACAAGTGTCAAATGAGTGCTTTGTGTAATTTGGCTTCAGTAGTATTTTCATCTGACAACGTCGCGTAAAAACTAAAGAGATAGAGATATTTTCTGTTTCACTCAACTTATGAGTTCATGCGCGGAAATCTATGCGCATACGTTTATTTATTTTTACACGAATTGTCAGTTGCGTGTGTCTATTTACAGAAATGTCAGAGTTAAATTTATTAAATTGCACAAAAAAAGTATTTAATTAGAAAGGTAAAGTAATTACCGAAAAGATGTATAAAAAAAATCTAAAACAAATCGCAGTGGCTAAGAAATTAAACGAAAAAAAAAAAAAATTGGTGTATGTTTGAATTTCGCGCGCATCCTAACCTTTTCTGCGGCGTTGCGACATTTAAATTGACTAGTACTTTTTTCTCAATTATTTATTAATTACTCTTATCACAAAAGAAATCCCCGAGAGTACGAGTAACGACGAGGCGGCAGTAGAACAAAGCCGTGGCTGTAAGTTGGCGGGAAGCAGTTCGTCGATTACAAGGTACATTGTCAAGTCTCGTGGGCAAAATTCGACTGTGGTTAGCACCCAGTCTTATTTCCTCTTCTGGACAAGGTTTTAATTGTTTTAATTGGTTTTTATAAATTAAAATAATTATTGGGTTAAAATATAGTTGCTAGAAAATTCTGTGGTCCTAGACAACATCCAAGTCAGAAGGATTTCTTAAGGATGTCTTTTCAAAGACTTCCTTGATAACTCCAAATATGACGTCTTAAAGACTTCATTTTTCGGAACTCTTAATTAAGAAGTCTTTAAGAAGTTTTTTTTTTTTAAGTTCTATAAGACATCACAGATATGAGCTCTTTGAGAAGTCTTTTTTCCGACTTCGTAAGAGGTCAAAAAAATGAGCTGTTTAAGAGGTCTTTTTTTGGACTTTCCAAGATATCAGAAATATGAGCTCTTTAAGAGTTCTTTTTTTCTGACTTCGTAAGACTTCAAGAATAGGAGCTCTTGAATAGGTTTTTTTTTTTTTTCTGATTTTGTACTTCGTCAAAATATGGGACTTAGAAAAATTTTTTTCACGTTATTGAAGAATTTTTAAAATGATAAAAAAATAAAAATAATCGCATTCGAGTGAACTCATTTCGTTGTGTATTTATTTTTGTATTATAAAAATATTATCGTAAATAGCAAAACGTTCAGTAATTCTACTTATTACAAATTAAATCGATAATTAAATCGAAAAGTATTTTTTTTTTTATTTTTGGGTAGAAAAGTTGATATCAAGTTATTTATCGTTGCTATAAGTCGTTTGTAATCTTATGTGAACATAAAAGCTTATATAGAAAAAAAAAATTTACTATCTCATTAGGAGCAGCTAGCCAAGGCAGACCAGGGGACACCACATCACTGAAGTTAAGAGGCATTAGTCATGGTAAATACTTGGATGGGTGACCGCTAGTAAATTCATATTCTAAGCTGCGAGCGACACCATTTTTTTTTTTTTTATTTCGAAGAAAATATATTTTAATGTACTTGATTGTCTTCAATTTAAGCTCTTTTTTAATTTTAATTACAATTAAAACTGAAAATATCTCCTCTATGAACTATTTTTTTCTGGAGTCAGAAAGGGCTCTTAATTCTGACTTCTTTAAGAACTCTTTTTTTGAAGTCAGAAAAAAGAGCTCTTTAAGAACTCTCTCTATGAAGTCCTGATTCACTCTTTAGGTGGCGCATTGGACGTCCTCAAAACGTCTTGGAGACCTCATTTTGATCAAAATTCTGACGTCTAAATCTTAAATAAGAGTTCTTTGAGAACTGTAAAAGACGTCATATTGCTATCTGGGAATATTCAAAACCACCGTGGAGAAATTTTATTGGGTACTACTTCTCAGTACTTTGAGAAAGATGTATTTTACTTGAAGAGCCAATGTGCGTTTTTGGAAGATAAAGAATCATCTGCTGGTTATCAGGATATCATCCTGAATCAGTACTCGAGAATAAATGGAACGAGTATGTAGAATTGACTCAAAACAGCGAACATGATCAACATCAATGCTTTCTCTACGACTTAGGTGTTAATGTCAGTACACCCTTAATTCGAAAGATTTCCAAGTACGGTGGTTATTTTTATAACAATAAATGCATTGGACCGATATGAATTATAGACTTAGTAACTATCATTCAGAAAATCGACCGCTTAGTTTGAGAATATATCTTCTTCAATTCATCACACAAGAAGCTATTGATTATATTAACAGCAAAACAGTCATCCCATAATTAAATCCCATATTAAAATTACCGCCTCAAGAAGACAAGTTAACGTTGCAATGGTTTTTTATATTTTTTAAATTTTCTATATTAGCATTAAATTAAATTAAATTAGAAATAATATTGTTGTTTTATATTAAGAGAAAATTAATATTATATAATAAATATTTATATTTTTTCAATTACTGATTTTTTATAAGAACATATCATTAATGGCAGTTCAAAATAAAAATGTTATAATTAGAGTGTAAGTTTTTAATTAAGGATATTATCACTTATTTATGTATGAGAGAAAATGGTGATAAATAAAATCCTTTATAGCACTGCGTGTCCTAAATTCGTATTTAGGACCCGCTCAACTGTTGACTTAAATAAATAATTATGAAACGAGTAGAGAGGAATTTTTTAGGCTACGGGCTCATATTTACGATCAATCTATAGATTTCTGCTCTAAAAATTTGACTTTCACAGCAAAAAAAAATAAAAAAATATATTTAAAAACATTCAAAGCCCCGAAAAAATCGAAAATAATAAATAATTAATAATTAAAATTACATCTTTTTGTCGGTTATGATTCAATCTGAAGTATGCTAAAACCTCAATTAATGATTCTCAAATATTTTTTATTAACGATTTCGCTCAGTCGTAAACATTATTCTGGTGTGAAATATTTTCTGAACGTTATTTAATTTAACAAAAATCTTACTCCGTAATAAATATGAACAGTGATAATGATTTAGACGCGCTTGTGCGCGCATATTAAATATTAGTAGTTTCATAAAAAATAAAAAGATTGTTACACATATAAATTCTAATATAATTGAAAATTATTATTTTATTTGATTGAATTAATAAGCATTAATTAACAGTTCCACTTACGAACCAAAAGAAGACGATAAATTTTTTGTAAATGAATAGCATTCAAATATAGAATATTTACAACTAAAAGAAGGCTTTATAAATTTTTATTTTTTAATTCCAAAGAGCTTTAGTTTTTTTATCCGCCAGAGAAAATATTTATTATCATTTTATATTCTTAGATTCATATAATTCTGTGCTTGTAGCCAAAATAAAGCTGCCATGTAATGAAACGCTGTGAAGAAAAATGTTATCCTACCAGATGAAATACAGCCGCTATTTTCACCCAAGTTATTGCAAGAATTATTTTTAGATTTCAAAAATGCTCCTTTTAACATAAATAAATAAATAAATAAATACTGTTCTGATAAATTTATATATTTATTAATGGTAACATGAACTTGACAAGACAACAATAATCATATATTGCATGTAAACACATATACGTACATCAACATATATATACATCAACATATTATTCAAAATAACTTCAATATTATAATAATAAATTTATTAAAATCAATAAAAATTCATTTAAGATAAAATTAATAAATTATCAAGTCCAACGAAAATATCATTTTTTGGACCAGCCATAACTTTTCAAAAAAATTTTTTTAATCAATTTTTGTTAGATAATTAAGGGGGATAGCCACTGTGAAATTTCAAAAAAAAATTTTTTTTTATTAAATCAAAGTTTATACATTCAAGAATATCTATCTAGAGTTTTATGTGAAAATTCCGAATATTTTTTGAGTTATAGTCATTTTTGTGGCAGCGTGTCAAATGACCATTGCACAAATTTTGATTTTTAAGATTTTTTAGGGCTGTTTGAATCCAAAATAATAAAAAGACCATTCGGCAGCCGAAATGGAAGTAAATTTCATCATTAATAGAAAAAAATATAACGAGGATTGTATACAAAACTGGGGATTTTAACTACTATCCAATCGAGAAAAATATATATCGACGGAAAAATACTAAAACCAGTTCAATAGCAAATTTCATGATTGGCATAGCGGAATAAGACATAATTTTGAGACTATACATATGATATGGTACTCAAATTAAAGATTATTTAAAGAGCTTTCAGATGCAATTTACAGAGTTTCAATAAGTTATTCCATTCAAAAGTTATTCGAGTAAGAAAGTGAAGAAATATGAATTTTTATGATTTTCAAAATTTTGAAATCTTGACACTTAATTAAATTACTTGACCGATTAGCTCATCTACGAACTTGACTTCGGTATTTATCTGTAGAATAAGTATGTTGAGTTTGATAGAGATCCATTGTAAATTGGCGACGCTATCGTCGTGATAAGTCGCGTTATATCCGATATATAAATATATATAATATATATACATACATTAGGATGTGCCAAAATGTAACATCCTTGATGGACCTCTTAAAATTTGAATTTTGAGTTCCGCTTTTAACAGGAGCTGTGTTTGGGCATTTCCTGACAAATTTTGGGCGTAAAGGATTTATTTGATTTTTATAGAATTTTTTAACAGGAGTTTTGTTCGACTAAATTTTGAAATTTTGAAATTCCAGCAAAAATGGCCGAATGAAACTACTGTTAAAAAATTCTATAAAAATCAAATAAATCTTTTACGCCCAAAATTTGTCAGGAAATGCCTAAACACAACTCCTATTAAAAGCGGAACTCAAAATTCCAATTTTAAGAGGTCCATCAAGGAAATTACATTTTGGCACACCCTATTACATACATATATAAACTTTTGAACCATATGCATTTTCCGACTCAGCTCGACGGGCTTAGTTGAAATATTTTAAAAGTTCCATCATGAGGACCAATGCAATAGTTAGATTTCTATGAAATCTACTAAAAATGAGAAAAAAAAACGAAAAAATTTTTAATATGTCGCCATTTTTTTAAAAATCCAAATTTTCAAAATCCCCTACGTGGAACGATAACCACATGCATGCAGATTACAACGCAGTTTGGTTTTTTTCTTTTTAGATAATCCGTTTTTGAGTTAGAGATCTCACCGTGGTGGGGGAAATTTTTTTGGTGCTCCACAAAAATGCTTATAACTTTGTAAAAACATGATATTTATTAATCAAAATTTAGGAGAATAATTTTCAATGTGTACTTTATAAAACAAAAAAACCCGATCATCAAATTCCTTTACTATCCCAGTCAAAAAAATTCCCAAAAATCATGAAAATTAAGTTAACCGAAATCTAAAAATTTTTAGAATTTTTTTTTTATAAAAAAAAATTATAAAATAATTAAAAAAAAAATTCCATTTGTAAAAACCTCGAAAAACTGAAAGTGCAATTTTTTAAAAATATTTTTTAGTTCTAATTTAATAATTTAAAAAAAATCAAAAAATTAAAAACGTCGGCTAACTTTATTATTATCCGAAAATCACCTATTTTTTCGATCTTCACAGTGGCTATCCCTCTTAACGCGCAAAACAATTTTACAATATAGTTAAAACATCTATAAAACACATATAACATCACATATTAAATTACTATTAGTCACACAGGACTCGAAATAAATGAAATAAATTCATCGAATAGTCTAACTATCGCGTGCAATAAAAAACAATTGCGAGAAGTCACAAAATTTATATAATAATAAAAATCCAATTAATAGATCTCAATATGCACATTATTAATAAAATTTTAAATTATCTAAATTAATCATCATCTATATATTAATTGATTAAAATTATTAAAATAATTAATTATTTGAGATCAACAAGACCTTTTGTATCTTTTCAGTAAAAAAAAATGTAAATTAAATTAAAAATGTTCAGTCTGATATCACGTATGATGTATAAAAGTTTTCTATAATAAAAATACTACAAGCTGAAATAAAAATATAATTAAAATAAACCTAATAGTCTCAGTGGGTCTCACATCTGATCAGTCGAAAACACAAGCGAGAACACGAACAACCAAGTCGCCCACGCGGGCGCAAGCTCGCTGACCTTGACTAGTACATTCTTTCCTTCTATTTTTTTTATTATCTTCCCGTTCTTTTTTACCAGGCTTCATCCCAAACTTAGCCTTCGTAGGTGTTTTACGTCCACGGGGTGTCGTAGACAGACTGTATGGCGCAATACACCGCGCCAGTTGATCATTATCCTGGTGGTTACTGTGTCCGAGAATTTTAGCGACAATTGCAGCTGATTCTTCGCTTGACAAGATACCGCTGGCCATTGGGCCTTGGATAAACTCTTGATCATTCATAAGAAGATATCTTACGCTGTACCAAATTTCATCGGAAACCGCTGAACGTTTATTGTGGGACGTTGGCTCGATGCCACGTCTTCTACATTCTGATGCTGCCCACTTATCAAGAGCTTCAAACAGAATGCTTTCTTTAGCAAGTCTGAGGTCATCTCTTGATGCAAGACTCGCTATTTCCTCAACAGTCAATTCTTCAAAACCTTCTTCTCGAAGTACTTCATCCGGTGCGGAATCAATTACTGTCAGACATGCTTTCAGAAGTCTGGTACATCCTACAGCTGGAGTCAAAAAATTCAATAGATAAATATTAGATTTTTAATTTTTTTTTTTTTTTCAAAAAACCAAATCAGGATATAGTAGACCAAATAAATTAAAAATTTTTTTTTTTAATTTTTGATTTTTTTTTATTAATTAAATTACAACTAAAAAGATATTTTCAAAAAATTGCACTTATAGTTTTTCAAGTTTTTTTACATGTGAAGTATGATGTATAAAAGTTTTCTATAATAAAAATACTACAAGCTGAAATAAAAATATAATTAAAATAAACCTAATAGTCTCAGTGGGTCTCACATCTGATCAGTCGAAAACACAAGCGAGAACACGAACAACCAAGTCGCCCACGCGGGCGCAAGCTCGCTGACCTTGACTAGTACATTCTTTCCTTCTATTTTTTTTATTATCTTCCCGTTCTTTTTTACCAGGCTTCATCCCAAACTTAGCCTTCGTAGGTGTTTTACGTCCACGGGGTGTCGTAGACAGACTGTATGGCGCAATACACCGCGCCAGTTGATCATTATCCTGGTGGTTACTGTGTCCGAGAATTTTAGCGACAATTGCAGCTGATTCTTCGCTTGACAAGATACCGCTGGCCATTGGGCCTTGGATAAACTCTTGATCATTCATAAGAAGATATCTTACGCTGTACCAAATTTCATCGGAAACCGCTGAACGTTTATTGTGGGACGTTGGCTCGATGCCACGTCTTCTACATTCTGATGCTGCCCACTTATCAAGAGCTTCAAACAGAATGCTTTCTTTAGCAAGTCTGAGGTCATCTCTTGATGCAAGACTCGCTATTTCCTCAACAGTCAATTCTTCAAAACCTTCTTCTCGAAGTACTTCATCCGGTGCGGAATCAATTACTGTCAGACATGCTTTCAGAAGTCTGGTACATCCTACAGCTGGAGTCAAAAAATTCAATAGATAAATATTAGATTTTTAATTTTTTTTTTTTTTTCAAAAAACCAAATCAGGATATAGTAGACCAAATAAATTAAAAATTTTTTTTTTTAATTTTTGATTTTTTTTTATTAAAAATTACAATCTAAAAAAGATATTTTCAAAAAATTGCACTTATAGTTTTTCAAGTTTTTTACATGTGAAATTTATTTTTTTAATTGTTTAATTGAAATTTTTTCAATAAAAAATTTTGAAATGTTGGCTAACTTTCATTTTCTTTTATGTAAATTGGAATAAATAAAAAAAAAAACAAATTTATTTGGTCTACTAAATCTTGATTTGGTTTTTTGAAATTTTGTAAATCTTAGACTTGAGAAAAATCAGTATTTTTAATTTTTATTTTTAAAATATTATCATGATAAGTTACTAATAACATTTTACCGATTTCAGCAGCATCATTTTCAGGTGGCGCCGAAGGAATTTGTTCATTTCCATCAGCTTCAGGTAAAGCGTAGAGACTCAGTCCATGATACACATTAATAACTGTTGACGAGTTTAAGTTTTTTATTATATAATCGACAGCTATTACTGCAAGCTCTGGGCAGAGATAATAATGAGCAGCATCCAATGTTGCTCGTGCGGTTAAAACAGAATTGAAATTTATTGGCTCCTCTCGAAAGTATCTAAAATATTGCAATTGTATTTATTAAATTTGTCTTTTTTAAATTACTTTGTAGATTCTCATCCATGTTTTACGAAATATTAAACAACAAATCTTGGGATTTGTTGTTTAATATTTTGTCTTTTTTTTTTTATAAAAATAAAATTTATATACTTGTATAGATGATCAAAAGCCCGTTTTTCAACGTGTTGCAAACAAATAGTTGGTGGTGGATTACTTGGAGGGGGAGCCATATCGCCCATGAGTAACGCGCGAAACCATTCTGATTTGTCTGCTAATGCTTGACGGTCCACACAGTATTTCCAAGTGTCTCCAGGTATACCGACCTTTTAATTCATTTATTTTTATTAAAAACAACAGTATAATAAATAATTATGCAGAAGTAGAACTCTGCTTATTTTATATTCAAAATTTTCGTTATCTCTAGATACATAATTAAGAAATGATCTTTTATCTTATGAAATATTGACATTTTTAAAGATATAAGCTCATCCCGATGTGACAATCATCAAGACCTTTCATTTGAGTACCTACATCAAATTTTCATATATTTTATATATTATATATATCTATATATGAAAAATATATAAAAAATGCATGTGGGTACTCAAATGAAAGCTCTTGATGAGTGTAACATCGGAATGAGCTTATATCTTTAAAAACTTCAATAATTAAGACAGTACAGTGTAATTTAACATAATTAAGAAACTACCTTGTATCTTGTAAACTATTGATATTTTTAAAGATATAAGCTCACCCTGACATTACACTCATCAAGACCTTTCATTTGAGTATCCACATCAATTTTTCATATATTTATATATATTATATATATGTATATATAAAAAATATATCAAAATGCATGTGGGTACTCAAATGAAAGCTTTTGATGAGTGTAACATCAGGACGAGCTTATATCTTTAAAAATGTCAATATTTAAGAAAGTACAGTGCAATTTAACAAAAGTCATTCTTTAATAAAGCAAAATTTTATTTATTTATAGTACCACAAGTCACGGCAGTCACATAGTGACATCAAGGTTGTTAGTAGTTTTTATTTTATTTATACTTACTTCCAAGATGACTTTATTATGAGGATCATTTTCCTCAGTAGTTCGGTCCTCAGTCATTAACGGAACCTGGGACATGCTCTTCAAACAGTCCCCAGTGATCGGCGGTATTCTGGTTTTTAGGAAAAACCGCTTGATTGGTTTAAGTATGCATGTTGGTTTTCGGTAACATTTCGTACCGTCTCCTATAAAACACAAAAATAATAACTATCAATAAAATGAATCAGAATCTCAAAAGTTCATTTAAAAATTTTGTTACCAATATTAAATAAATTTAATGGATTAGTTAAGTGAATCATGGTGATTAAATTCTGCACAGCGACTAGCAATAAATATAAAAGCCTCAATCATCAATAACGTTTTATTAAGTACGTTGCTTAAAATACTTTCTTCTATCTATTGATTTCACAGAGCACCAGTAAAACATATCGCGCTGGTTGGTATCTAAATCATACAAGGGTTTGGCAATGTTTGCCACAGATAGCAATGCCTTAGCTTATTTATTTCTTCCAGCTCACATACTTAAACCCATTATATATATTAAATTAAAAAAACATTTATGGATATAAATTAATCTTCAATTCTCCGCTACATATCCACAAGGATTTGTTTATTTAAACTACTGAAAAAATAATATTATGATATGCAATACCGATTGAATCAGCAACAAATTTAACACGCACTAAATTACTAAATTTAAACCAACTGAGCAAATAACAATGAAAATAAATGTCATTACTTAAATTATTTCGGTGCATTTTGTTGGAACAAAACAAAAATTATTAACTGAACACAAAAATTGGCAATAATATTAAATTTATTAATTTTAAATTAAATTTATTAATTTGAAAGAAAAAAATATTTTTAAAAAATTGCACTCAAAGTTTTTCAAGTTTTTTACAAATGCAATTTTTTTTTCTTAATAAAAAAAATTTTTGAATGTCGGCTAACTTAATTTTCATAAATTAACATTGTAAAGACACAGTGAGCTTGTTCTGCTTGAGTAAGAAGTAATTAATCCGCAGCATTCTCTCAAACGAGTGCTCTCTTTCAACTGCGAGAAATCAACTAAGAGTACATGTCGATGTTATGTGATATCCTCTTTTCCCTCCGACTTTTTTCTCTCACTCTTTGAAGTCCCTATTATTATACTTATTACTCATATGAGTCAGAGTAACTCGCATCGGTCTCTATCGATGAACATTGACGCATTCCGTCAGTCAGTCGAGGTTTATGCGATTGTTTACAAAACAATTCGTAAGGGCCATTGAAGCGGGTGAACTCATGAGAAGTATAAAGGAATGTGTTCCAGGGAATTAAATATTGCTTGAAAATAAAAATAAAAAATTCAATTCAACACACAAATAACATTAAATATGTCTCGAAATATAATGAGTTCAGTGTTAGCTCGAGAAATAACGAAAAAAATATAAAATTTTTATGAAAATTAAGCTAGCCGACATATAAAAATTAAAAAAATTTTTTTTTCATACAAAAAATTATTATAAAAAAATTTTTAAAAAAAGTCATTTGTAAAAAACTTAAAAAACTGTAAGTGCAATTTTTAAAAAATATTTTTTTGTTCCAATTTTATTAATAAAAAAAAAAATCAAAAAATTATAAATGTCGGCTAACTTAATTTTCGTAAAATTGTATAATACTAAAGTTAGCCGAGGTTTTTAATTTTTTTTTTTTAATAAATAAATTAGAGCAAAAAATTTTTTTTTAAAAATTGCACTTACAATTTTTAAAGTTCTTTACACATGAAATTTTTTTTTTTATTTTTTTATAATCATTTTTTCAATGAAAAAATTTTTTTTATTTTTATAATTGTATAATACTAAATACTAGCCGACGTTTTTAATTTTTTGATTGTTATTAATAATTAAATTAGATCAAAAAAATATTTTTAAAAAATTGCACTTACAGTTTTTAAAGTTCTGTACAAATGACAATTTTTTTACAATCAATTTTTCAATGAAAAAAAATTTTTTTAATTTTTATAAAATTGTAGTATTTAAATCTTTATTTGAATTAAATTAGTAATAACAACACCTGTCTATAATTTTTAGGTTTATTATTTTAAAAAATCTAGATCCAACTTAAAAAAATAAATTTTTGTTGAAAAAAGAGTTTTTTGTTATCAGGAAGATCATGATAGAGTTCATAATTTGTCAAGTGTAGACCCAAAGTAACTTTCTCACTCTTGGTTTTGTTTGCAGCATGTAACTGACACTCCCATCATAAAAAATTTAAGTACCTTTTTTATTGTTTTTTAAGTAATCATTGATTCACTTAAGTTAAAAATAGAAAAACATCTTAATTTCAGATAAAGAAGAAGAAGAAGAAATATCAACTGACAAATTATTGTTTTTATAAATTATTGTGAAGAAATATTGCATCAGTTGTATTGAGGACATATATAGTAGTGCAGTATACAAGAATGTACGAAGTAAAATATAATAGACGTGTGCCAGCCTTGGGATCTAAAATATAAGCATCTGCAGGTGTTTGACACACAGGAGTATCCATCAGCTTTTTTTTATCTGGTGTATGGAAGAGTAAAAATTCAAAAATTATTATGATGCTGCACTGAAGAAAATTTATTCATCAGTTGATTGGTCAACATGGAAGTATCATCAGTCATCAGCTACTGAGTTTATGTACGTATGCAAACGTATTGTATACATCAGCTCTTATCTCTTTCATATATTTATTGAGTCATATAAATCGTTTTTATATTATATATACATATATACTTCATTAAGTTATGACAATTTTTAACAATTAAATTATAAAAAAAATTAAATAAAAATTCAAAAAAAAAAAACTAGAATTTTTGAAAATATTTTTTTTTTTAATAATTTATTCTTTAAATAAAATTAAAAAATTTTCTAGGTGTCTTCTAATTTCAATATAATTTTACATTAATGTAAAATGATATATTTTCATGAAAATTAAGTTAGCCGACAATTAAATATTTTTATAATTTTTTTTTATTGAAAAAATCATTACAAAAAAATAAAAAAAAAAATTGCACGTCTAAAAAACTTCAAAAACTATAAGTGCAATTTTAAAAAAAATTTTTTTGTTCAAATTTGATTATTAAAAAAAAAAATCAAAAAATTTAGAACGTCGGCTAACTTTCATGACATTATATTTTTATAATTTTATAAAATAATTAAAAATTTAGATAGTGATATTTAAATTAAAAGACATCCGAAAATTTTATCAACTAAATTATAAAAAAATTAAATAAAAATTCAAGGTACGGAAATTAGAAAAAAAAATATAAAAAAAATTTTCTTTGCAATAATTTATTCTTTAGATAAAATATTAAAAAATTGTCCAGATGTCAGCTAATTAAAATATAATTTTACATTAATATAAAATGATATATTTTTATAATTTTACAAAATAATTAAAAATTTGGCTAGATTTTGTGAGTCATATTTATATACAGCAGTTTTACGACTTAGATAGCCATTAAATATAAATGATATTTTGTTTTTAAATAGTGACGTGATACTTGGCTACTTGTCATGAATTTAAGTTTAGAAATAAACCAATGAGAGTCTAGATATAAGACTTAAAGTTATCTTATATTACTTAACTACTCAATTCAAATAAGATAATCCAATTTAAGTAAATTAATAGCACCCGCATTTTCGCAGTCTTCTATAACTTCAATTTAAAATTAAGGGAAGAAAAATTCCCAGAGTATTATGATAATTAAATGAGTATGTGTATTCAATGGTATTGTTATTGTTATTGTCAATGAGTGGGTATTGTAAAACGTAAGTGTGCACAGATGTCCGCAAGTATGTGTGTGTGTGTGTAACATGTTGATGTATGGAGGTAAATAAACCGAGCACGATTGAATGAGTCCTTATATACTGGTATTGGTTTTACTACAGCAGAATGTCAATGCCATGCTTATGCATTTAATCTAACATACGATTGATATAAATATTAGTAAGTCGTATATCATGTGACGAATGCGTAGTGATCGATCCGAATAAATCAAGGGCCGAGGTCCTTCTGTTTCTTTTTGAATTGCCGCGTTTATCTGTAAAATTTAAATATCACGGACTTTATCTAATTCCAAGGTTTTTTTAGAGAGAATAATAAAATCTAATGGTGACTAAACTAAACGGCTTAGAGCTTTCAAGCTATTTTCGTCCTGAGGTTTTTAAATAAATTGTTCATCAGATATCCTGCGGACAATATTGTTTATTACTTCAAAGTTTGGTAATTACACAGTAAAAAATTTTGCGTCAAAAAATTTTGTGTTAAAAATTTTTATTTGAAATATTTAACACTTTTTCGTGATTATTTAATAGAATAAATGTTAAACTTACACATAGAAATATGTTAAATATTTAACACTAAATTTTTTGACACAATAACGCAAAATTTTTTACTAATGGATTTACAAGTGGGGTCCACGCTATTTTTTGCAATATCTACACAGTAAAAAATTTTGCGTCAAAAAATTTTGTGTTAAAAATTTTTATTTGAAATATTTAACACTTTTTCGTGATTATTTAATAGAATAAATGTTAAACTTACACATAGAAATATGTTAAATATTTAACACTAAATTTTTTGACACAATAACGCAAAATTTTTTACTAATGGATTTACAAGTGGGGTCCACGCTATTTTTTGCAATATCTACACAGTAAAAAATTTTGCGTCAAAAAATTTTGTGTTAAAAATTTTTATTTGAAATATTTAACACTTTTTCGTGATTATTTAATAGAATAAATGTTAAACTTACACATAGAAATATGTTAAATATTTAACACTAAATTTTTTGACACAATAACGCAAAATTTTTTACTAATGGATTTACAAGTGGGGTCCACGCTATTTTTTGCAATATCTACACAGTAAAAAATTTTGCGTCAAAAAATTTTGTGTTAAATATTTAACACTTTTTTGTGTTAATTTAACATTTTTCTGTGTTAATTTAACACATTTAACACAATAAATGTTAAATTTACACATAAAAGTGTTAAATATTTAACACAAAATTTTTTGACGCAAAATTTTTTACTGTGTAATTACCAAACTTTGAAGTAATAAACAATATTGTCCGCAGGATATCTGATGAACAATTTATTTAAAAACCTCAGGACGAAAATAGCTTGAAAGCTCTAAGCCGTTTAGTTTAGTCACCATTAGATTTTATTATTCTCTCTAAAAAAACCTTGGAATTAGATAAAGTCCGTGATATTTAAATTTTACAGATAAACGCGGCAATTCAAAAAGAAACAGAAGGACCTCGGCCCTTGATTTATTCGGATCGATCACTACGCATTCGTCACATGATATACGACTTACTAATATTTATATCAATCGTATGTTAGATTAAATGCATAAGCATGGCATTGACATTCTGCTGTAGTAAAACCAATACCAGTATATAAGGACTCATTCAATCGTGCTCGGTTTATTTACAGTAAAAAATTTTGCGTCAAAAAATTTTGTGTTAAATATTTAACACTTTTATGTGTAAATTTAACATTTATTGTGTTAAATGTGTTAAATTAACACAGAAAAATGTTAAATTAACACAAAAAAGTGTTAAATATTTAACACAAAATTTTTTGACGCAAAATTTTTTACTGCGTCGGTAAAAAATTAACATTTTCTAATTATTCTTTTTTATTTTGTTTGTTTTTACGGCGCATTTATGATTAAAAATGTTGTTAAAGAAAAAAATAAAGATTTCGATAGTTTTTTTGCCTTCAAAAGTTGGAAAAAATTTTGGCGCTCATATTTTTGGATAAAATTTCTATTTTATCTTTTTTTGAAAATTACATAAAAAAAACGAACAATTTAAAAAAAATGTTGAATATCACAATTTTCTAAAAAATTTATAAATTTTTTTGAAAATTTCTTAAAATTGTGATAATTTTTTTATGTATTTTTCCAAAAAAAAATATATCAATAAAATCAATTAGAAATTTCGTTCAAAAAAATGAAAATTAAAATAGTGGACCCCACTTGTAAATAATTACCCAAATTTCAAATAATATTTACAGAAAAATTTATGATACTAAATTTAGCCGACATGTTTAATTTTTTTTATTAATTAAATTAGAACTAAAAAATATTTTTCAAAAATTGCACTTATAGTTTTGATTGTTTTTTACAAATGTATTTTTTTTTATTTTTTTTGTAACAATTTTTTCAATAAAAAAAATTTTAAGATGTCGGTTAACCTTATTTTCAAAAAAATTTTAATTATTTTTTGTATTCACCATTTTTTTTTTTTTTCTTTTACAAATTACTTAAAATTGTAGCTAATTAAAAATTGAAAAATCTATACTTTAATTCAAACAAATAAATAGTTTATAAAACTTAAATTAATAGCTAGTCAGAATAAAAAAAATAAACCTTGTAGTCGGAGTTAATTTAAATAAATGCGCAAAAATTATCCAAGGAGAAAATTGTAAGGACAATTTAACAATAAGACAAATGTGCGAAAATATTCAGCATCCACGTGATGATTCCCTGAACAATTGTGCCGATGTGTGAAAAAATATGCTCGCTAATAAAATTATTGAGCGTTTGGTCACTTATTATTACTTTAAGATGTTTTATGCAGATTTTTTTCTTATTAAATAAAAATTTGTGATTTTAATTTATTAGTGGTAAAACTACTTACGAGATTTGAATTTCTTAGAGTAGGATATTATCCATAATTTGATAATATACATTTTTAAAATTCACACTAATGCTTTAGAGTAAGTAACGATATAAAATATGACACTTGCACTGCACGGCGGTATGCAGTAGAATAAACGCACGCGAGTTTCTTTGGATTGAATGAACCAAAACATCCGGTTGATCCGCGGTTACTATCGGAATAGTGCGATGGAAGAAAACCAGAGTAGTAGGAGGGAAACTGTATAATAAAGCAACGGAAACTCTGGATGTATCATGGAATATATGATAAAGAAAATTCTAAGCAGCCTCAGGGCATTTTTAAGATTAGAACAGTTTTTTTTTATGATTTTCTAATAGAAGATTTTATGGATAGAATTCTACTCTACTATACTCTGTGTGAGTCAGCGCTGATGTCTTTATTCAGTGTGATAATATTTTTTTTTGCGTTTTATGCCATTAAAACAACAAACTCCACGGCTTATCACCACGTTAATGAGCTAGTGAACACATAATTATTAACAAGTGCAACTTTTTATCTATAGTGTATTGATGTTGAATGAGGACATGGATAATAGTCCTGACCACCTCAACTTCAGTAATATACAAAACAAAACTAAAACATTATTTTCTACTTACATTAATATATTTTACGAATAATTTAAGCTATTTTCTGGCTTGGAAAAATTATTTTTTTTTTTTTAATTGAGAATTTTTCGGACAGATAAAAAAAAAATATTCTTTGAAAACAAAATTTTTTTTTGCGTCGTAGAATGAATTGTTTCTTATATTATTTCTAAATGGTTTATATATTCTATGAACATGTTCATAATTATATTGATGACCAATTACTCACTTATGAGTCTTCTGATAAAAAATTTATAGTTCGGAGTATATGAATGAATTTTTAAATTAATTATAAACGATTTTATGACATAAATTCAATTAATATGTTTTTGAATGATGTTTAATATTTATCAAAGAATCAATTTGTACCCAAAAATATTACTTTCTATAAAAAAACTTATAGTAAATTTGAGTTTTATTTGAAAGAACAATGTTTTAAAATTCAAATAAAAATACTAAGTAAAATTTTAAAGTATACTTCTTAATAGGAAATTAAGTTTTTAGTCTTTAATAATTTTATTAATTTAACTGTATCTTCAAAATTTTTCAAAAATAATTCTAACTCAGAAACTATGATAATGTATATTATTAAGAGAATAAGTAAAATTTTGTGGCCAGTGTATTTATATGATAAGATGGATTTTTATAGTTAACTTTGTTATAATGAGAAAAGTCTCGACTTGGAGCTGTGCCTTTTCAAAGTTTCATATCATTTTCACCAATATTCAATTTATGATGATAAGTATTTAGTCCGCATTCGAAAATGCTCTATCTCTAGATACATAACTTTGTTAAGAAATGACCTTGTATCTCGTGAACTATTGACATTTTTAAAGATATAAGCTCATTCCGATGTTACATTCATCGAGACCTTTCATTTGAGTACCCACATCATTTTTTCAGGTATGTATATATATTATATATATGTATATATGAAAAATATATCAAAATACATGTAGGTACTCAAATGAAAGCTCTTGATGAGTGTAACATCGGGATGAGCTTATATCTTTAAAAATTTCAATAGTCAAGAAAGTACAGTGCAATTTAACATAATTAAGAAACGACCTTGTATGTTGTGAACTATTGACATTTTTAAAGATATAAGCTCATCCCGATGTTCCATTCATCACGACCTTTTATTCAAGTACCCACATCATTTTTTCATATATTTATATATATTATATATGTATATATGAAATATATATAAAAATGCATGTGGGTACTTAAATGAAAGGTCTCGATGAGTGTAACATCGGGATGAGCTTATATCTTTAAAAACGTCAATATTTAAGAAATTACAGTGCAATTTAACAAAAGTCATTATTTAATAATGCAAAATTTTATTTATTTATAGTTCACAAGTTACGGCAGTCACATAGTGACTGCAAGGTTGCTAGTATTTAATTTATAGAATTTAAGCGAACCATAATTCTGTAAATTTTTGTGGGAAAATAAATTTTATCTACAAAAAACCATTTTTAATTTCATTATATCCTCCAAAATTTTTTTTTTCACTATAAATTAACATTAATTAAATCACGTTAAACTATATAAAAACTATTTTCAAATAGTAAAAAATTTTGTATTCAATATTTAACACTTTTTTATGTTAATTAAAAAAAATTACCGCTAATAAGTGTTGAATTTAGAGATAAAAATATTAAATATTCAACACAAGATTCTTTGACGCAATGACGTAAAATTTTTAAGTAACTTTTAAATCGATTTAAACTAGCCAAATATTTAAAAATAAAAAAAAAACAATAAATTTACCAATTACATATTAAAATTCTTATCTACCGACTAGACGTAAAACACAGTATTTTACAAGAACAAGACAATGATGTTAAAGTACGAGACATGATAGGTTGATTTGGAGTAATTAAACATCGGCAATTATCAGCTTTTGCAATGCGTTCCGCCAGTTTATGGAAATTTATAGCCAAGTGTTAACAATAAGATGTAAAAAGAGCAAACGTTTGTTTAACAAAAGGGTATGTAAAGCGAAGCACCTGGTACTTTTAATATTATTAATTCATCTCTTACTATTAACAGACACGTGCTACCAGATGAATCATTTTTTAATACAATTACTCAATATATAGTCCCGTTTAATTATTTAATTAGTTACAATTAACAATGTGTTTGTTATGAAAATAAATAAAATTAATTAATAACCGATAATTAAATAGCTGAGTCACTTTATCAAGATATAGGAGTAGTGTGGGAAGAAAAGCCGTGGAAAAGAGGAAAGAGGAGTGAAATCGTACATAACGTCAACCCCTCGGAGGTTGATCAATACTCTCGGAGTACAGTTTGATATTGCGAAACGCTAAACTATACTTTCACCTTCTTTGTCTATCTTTCTTTCTTTCTTTATTTCTTTAAGAATATTAATGTAAAGACTTAAAAAAAAATTAGTTTATATTTAATAAGCTTTAATTGTTAATAAATTATTTTTTAACATCATATTAGGATTTAATAAATATTTATTAACAGTTAATAAATTATTTATTAAATTTTAATAAATATTTATTTAATGTTAAAAAATATTTATTAAAATTTAATAATTGTCTTTAAATAAATTAAATTATTAATAGTTAATAAATCCTTCTAATCAGTAAATCACGCAAAAAACTTGTAGTAGATAAAGTTAACTTTAGTCAGACAGAATTAGGAAAATTTTACTCTTTTTATTTAAAGTTTTATTTATTATTAATGAAAATTAATTTAACATATATTTAATAATTTTAATGATCTTATAATAAATAAATTATGGCAAAAAAAATTATACAAAAAAATTGACATGTAGAAATTTTAAAAAATTAAAAATGCAATTTTTTTTAAATAATTTTTTGGGACAAATTTTTTTGTTAAATAAAATTAAAATATTGTTAAGTGATTGCTAACTTTAATGTCATTTATTATTAGTGAAAATTACGAGTCTAAATTAAAAAATTTACTATTTACAAACAAATATAATAATAATAAAATAAAATAATGTCAACTGAAGGATAATTATCAGCGATTACAAACAAGCGGCGAAAACAACAAAAAGAAGTTTATAATTCACAAGTTCCCTGTCATATTTAAAGATAGTGTACGGCATTTAAATGTTTGGTCTTGTTAAACTTAATTACTTAGTGCGTTATTTTGTAAGAAGAAATTATGTCTTCTTTTAATTATAATAAAAAAAAAAAAATAATTAGAGATTTTATTAATATCCAAAAAATTAAATATTATAAATATCTTCTTTAGGTTTATAAAAAATTACAAAGTCAATAAATAAATTCTAATTGTTGAATTAATTATTAATTATTAACAATAATAATTATTAATAATAATTAATAATTAATTAATAGCTTCTTTTCCAAAAAATTTAAATTTGAAATTGAATTTTTAAAGTTGAAAAAATTTTTTTTAAATTACCTGGTTGATAAAAATGAAATTCCGTTACTAATAAGGGTGGTTTGAGTATTTGCACTATTGTTTGCTATTGCACTCACTGTTTGGTATTAAAAAAAAAATTCAACCAAGTGTGACACACAATATATAACAAAAAGTGTTTAAAATAAATTTAGTAGCGCGGTGGTAATCTTGTAATGTGTATTGGCCGATGACTGGGGCTACAATGAGCATATGATTTGCACGAGTGCGGAACCATACATTCCGGTGGACTATTTCATTGGTGATATTCATAGCCAGTAGGAAGCTACACCGCGCAGACGCCAGGCCTTTTCAGCCCTCTTATTATTATTTCTATTCTATAATGCTAGGTATTTTAATTTTAATATTAATAAGAATATATTAGATTATATTGGAGATTTATAATGAAGAAAAACAAAGTTTGAGGTCGAGAAACTGTCGGCAAATTTTCATTTACATTCAATACACCGTTGTCAAGATACTCTATAATTACTCTAGGATTCATTGTTACTCCGAGAAAGGTGGATTCATTTACGTTTAGTTAAGGAGACAACTTTGTATATATTTATATTAAAAGTATCAATTATTGTAAAATTCTACAATGAAAAAAAAAAATTCTTGACTGGAGTGTAAATTTTCTTGGCTCAAGAAAATATTAAGGAAGATTGAAAATTTCTTGTATGAAGTCTAAGTTACTTGAGCCAAATTTCTTCTTGTTCTAAAATAACATTTGTTTTCCTTAAAATTTTCTTGGTACAAGAATTCAGAAGTAATTTAAGTTATACTCACTTGAATCATCGTTTGCTTGTGGATCATAAGTTAAAATTTTCATTTTCTAAATTTTCAAAACTAATAATTTTTATTTATTTAATTTTTTAGAAAATGAATCTTCACTTCTATATAATTACCTCAAATTTTCAATTTTAAAATCATTTTTATTGATTTTCATATTGTTTCTAATTACAAAAGTATTATAGAATTATACAAATAATTTATT